CTTCCTCTGGATCCCTGGGCTCTAGGGTGAGAAGAGAGCAGGTGTCTAGACTGGGTGAGCTACAGCTGGCCTCTGGGGGGGAAAGACGGCTCTACTAGGGAGAAGGTGCAGGTATGTGAACAAGTGGGGGGGCCCTTTAGCTGAGCTCTTGGGAGAGGGGATTTGGCTATATTAGGTGAGGGGGACACAGTGGCTGGGCTCTGGGTGTACAGGAGGGGGGCAGAGTAACAGGAACTGGGTTGTCATAGGGGTTTCCTTAACTCTACTCCTGCATGCACACGCACACACACGTGTGTATTGTTAGAGACATAATTCACAGGGAAGGGTTGGAACTTAACTTCCATTCCTATCAGGGAGGAATGAATAAAGATATTGGCTGGCTCACACACTACCTTCCACATCCTAATGACTTAGCCCAGGGGTTCTCAAACTTGTGATACTGTGACCCTCCTGTAAGTTGCTCACAACCCCCCTCTCAGTTGCTGCAACCACCCTCTACATTGCTCCTGACCCCGCCCCTCCCCAGTTTGAGAAACAGGACCCAGTTTGAGAAACTCTGACTTAACCAATCAACCAAACAATGGGTACTTATAGAAGTGCAAATTGTTCTTATCAGCGTCTTGTAACTTGAACAATCCAATACATTATTTTTTTTACCTGCCTTTCCTTATTTATTCTTGGATCTGGACTTTTAATATTCCAGTCAGCTGAAGAAATGGTTTGTACCCATGAAAGCTCATGATACCATCTACATGTTTTGTTAGTCCTTAAGGTGCTGCTAGACAATTTGTTGTTTTTAAGTTTTCCAGCTACAGACTAACTTGGCAACACCTCTGAAGCTTGATAAAAGGTGTTTTGAAATAAATGACTGAAACTGATAGGATTATGTTCTGTTATTTTGGCAAATAAAATTTGCTGAATTTATCGACAATATTATGCAAACAAATTTTTTTTGACACAGAATGTCCCCAGGAGTAATAAGTTATGAATAGTTAGTCACTTTTCTCTCAACTATATTTTTAAATTAATCTTAATTTGTCAAACATATTAGGAGTGCACAATACCATGCAATGTGTTAGAGAAGAAACAGGGGACCCAGGAGCAGATGGGGTAAATGGAACCTCTTTATTGCCTACACACGTTTACCTTGGACATTCAACATAATGTCCGAATACAACAACCCGGTGTTAATCACACCTTTTTATCTATTTTAGTATGTTAATTCACATGTCTACTTTTCTAAAAGCCTTATTTAGTAATGTTAACTCCCATAAAATGAATATTAATAAGCAAATAATGAATACAATTATACCTGCCCCTAATTACTATTTATAGAACTTCCAATCAAATCAACATTCCTATGTTACAAACTAACAGGTTACAGAGATTACAAAGAATCCAACCCTGAAGATGTTATGCAGAGCCAATGAGGATAAGCAAGAGACACAACAAAGTAGAGTAGCTCCATGCTTATCTGGTTTCCTAGGCTACAGAACAGAGAGAGAGAACAAGCTTATATATATCAAAACATAATACTGGTCTCAACTGGACCCTATCATCCCAAACTAAAAACACAAAAGGAAAAGGCATGTTTAAGGAAAATGCCGTAGCTGACCCCTGGCCAATAATGCAAAAGGCCGTTTCAAACCTATTAATTTGTACACCCCCACCCCAATACCATGAATTCACTTTTATTGTTTTCTGTAAGTATAAGCAAGAGAGACTGACTTGCTTAAACAGAAGAATGAGCCTGAAACCACTAAATTAAGATTATCTTAAAAGCTTGGAAGCAATTATAGGTGCATATCATAACAGACTAAGAGTAAGAAATGCATTTGTATACAAATACCTTACCATGATCTGCTCCAAGAAAGTAACACTCAGGAAGCGTAGTTGGATGTCTGGGATCTACCTCTAAGTTTACAGAGACATTGTTTCCTGTAATGAGAGAGAATGCATGTAAATGAAAGGCGTAAAGTTTTCCTTTATAAATCACAAATAGAGACAGTGTTTGTTTTTCAAATGAGTTGTTTTGGGCACACCAGCTTTATAATGCTAAAGTAAGCTATGTGGCTTAGAATTTTGAACTGATGGTGTTCACGACTATAACTTTCAGCTCAGTATGAACAAGTCTTAGCTTCCCGTTGAAAAACCACCAGGGGAAAGGATGCAAGAGTACCAGCTCCAAAGACCAAACATTGACACTGCAGTTTATAGCTCTGAAGCGCAAGTCATTTGACTCAAGCCAGCTGCAGATGTTTCACTGTACAGGAATCAAGGTAAGGCAAGAGAGACAGTCCAACTGTACTGGAAGGAAAATGAGCAGGCTGCACAAAAGGAGATTCACCAGAATCTCTGAGCTGCAAATAAGGAAAAGTGTGACCTGTCACTTCAGATGTTGGTTCAACAGTTGTTTGCATAAAGTCACAATCTGAGTGGGCATCCAGACTTATGGATGGGGTGAAATTCCTGGCACTTGTGACTGAAACTGAGCAACACTACAGTTATAGAAATGCTAAACTAATCCAAATCCTCATTCCAAAGGTAATTTTTTTCCTCTATTTTTGACCATGGACAGTGGTATGTGCTTACTTTTTAAATAACCAAGGTAAACTACAGGCAGTCCCCGGGTTACGTACAAGATAGGGACTGTAGGTTTGTTCTTAAGTTGAATCTGTATGTAAGTCGGAACTGGCGGTCAGTTTCAGCAGCGACTGAATCTGGACGCCAGTTCCGACTTACATACAGATTCAACTTAAGAACCCCAAGCTTCCCCAAGTCAGCTGCTGCTGAAACTGATGAGCGCTGATTTCAGGAAGCCTGGGGCAGAGCACCTCTGCCTTGGGCTTCCTGTAGTCAGCGCTGGTCAGTTTCAGCAGCGACTGAATCTGGACGCCAGTTCCGACTTACATACAGATTCAACTTAAGAACCCCAAGCTTCCCCAAGTCAGCTGCTGCTGAAACTGATGAGCGCTGATTTCAGGAAGCCTGGGGCAGAGCACCTCTGCCTTGGGCTTCCTGTAGTCAGCGCTGGTCAGTTTCAGCAGCGACTGAATCTGGACGCCAGTTCCGACTTACATACAGATTCAACTTAAGAACCCCAAGCTTCCCCAAGTCAGCTGCTGCTGAAACTGATGAGCGCTGATTTCAGGAAGCCTGGGGCAGAGCACCTCTGCCTTGGGCTTCCTGTAGTCAGCGCTGGTCAGTTTCAGCAGCGACTGAATCTGGACGCCAGTTCCGACTTACATACAGATTCAACTTAAGAACCCCAAGCTTCCCCAAGTCAGCTGCTGCTGAAACTGATGAGCGCTGATTTCAGGAAGCCTGGGGCAGAGCACCTCTGCCTTGGGCTTCCTGTAGTCAGCGCTGGTCAGTTTCAGCAGCGACTGAATCTGGACGCCAGTTCCGACTTACATACAGATTCAACTTAAGAACCCCAAGCTTCCCCAAGTCAGCTGCTGCTGAAACTGATGAGCGCTGATTTCAGGAAGCCTGGGGCAGAGCACCTCTGCCTTGGGCTTCCTGTAGTCAGCGCTGGTCAGTTTCAGCAGCGACTGAATCTGGACGCCAGTTCCGACTTACATACAGATTCAACTTAAGAACAAACCTACAGTCCCTATCTTGTACGTAACCCGGGGACTGCCTGTATGTATTTAAGCTGTAATTCTATGTATTCGGATGAGCAATAGGGTGCTTTAATCTTAGTTCAGGTATATTTTATATTATTTCATATGGTTATAGTTTATTCTATGCCTTTTATCTGCTACCATATCTGTTTTTGTCTTTTTTACCCATGTCAATTATCCTTTTCCCCCCCCTTTCCCACAGCTACATTTCCCATTCCATATCCATCCTTCCAAAGACAGTTTCACACTAAAATATTCACAGTATGCTTATACTTTTTTTGAAGTTACAGATTAACACTGCTACCTGAGATTTCTCATTATAATTAGTGGTGAATAATTTTTAAATGTAAACTAGTTTTTCATGTATTCTATAAACAGACATCCATTTCATACACAATCTATTTAAGAATCCTATACTGAATTACTACTTATAGCATTATTATCATCACAAATGTGTCCTTGGTTTTGAATTGATCTGTACTTGTATTTGTGATTTATCAGAATTCATTCATATTATGTGTGTGTATAAATAAAATTTACATATATATTTATGCAAATAAATAAATAAATAAATGTATGTTTTCCCACAGGATGACAGAGTGATGTAATCACGACACTTTGCGTCCTGCCACTGCCCTGTCTCCTCCCTCTCTCCTCCATCCGGGGGGGGGGGGGGGGGGGGGGGGGGGGAGGAGGTGTGGCTCTCTTCTCTCCCATACCGGGCCAGGAAACCTCAGGCCTAACCCCCAGCCCTCTCAACCCTTCCACGGAGACCCTGCACCTCCACCCTATTACTGCTCCCTCCCCACTGTCTAGACACCTCACCCCAGCCCACTCATGCACCCTCCGCCTCAGCCAGATACCTACCCCCAGAGGAAGGGGGGGGGGGTTAGCAAGCATAGCGAGCAGTTTTATATTTTTTAAAAATGTAAAATTATACTTTCTCCCAAACAAATTCAATATTCTGCCTCAGTTTAGTTTTGTATAACAAGTAGCAGTTTGTTTTCCTACTCCTTGTTCTTTATTAAGTACAGCAAAACAGTCAACTTCACTTCTGTTTTAAAAAATACTTTATTTCTTCTACTGTTTTCCTACCTATTGCAATTCTTCTCATTGTAGCACTCCGCGTGGGGTTTTCTGGCTCAAGTACCCAAGTCATTTTATCAATTTCATCCATGGCATTCCAGAATTCTTTTAGTGATTCTAATGCTGCCAAGAATTGACTATAAATGTCTATTAAGGAGCTCTATGAAAAAAGGAAATTTTAACAAGTTATGTATTACTACTGGTAGAGTGCTGTGTAAGAATTATTTTTAAAAGCTATAGCATTTCGAAGTTTTAAAATCTAGCACATACTCCGCTGTAAAATATACTGCAGTGTGCAAGGGTTAACATTTTTCCTGTTAGTACTCAAAAGGCTTTTTTGATTTGTTAATGGGCCACACAAATATTATCTACTGATAACAGTAATGCATTCAAAAGTAAGGTTAAATTTTCTAACACATTTTGTTACATTCTGATGTATCCAAAGTACAGTATTATTGAAGATGGAAGCCACTCTCAAAGATAATATTAATTTCAGGAATCAATGTTAAGGCGGGAAGTATTTTATTACATATTCATAACAACTTCATTCTCAATGAGGAGTAAAATTCAGCATAATCTGCTGTTGATAAATTACAAGTTTGCCTTCTTGACTCTTATGCAGTGATTCCTACTCCAACCTAAACTTTTCAAAAGATTTTATTCTGCATCAAATAGTAAGTAGTCAGTCTTCTGTGGATAGATGTAGTATAATATGCATCCTGCTTCTCAGAAACAACTGTATGTTAAAAAAATTTCCATCCCAAAAATGTGATTTTTAGAAGGACTTATCTATTTTTAAAATGTGTTGTCTACTACTATGGTTTCAAGACTCAATTCTCCATTGTCTGTGTCTGTGGGAAAAGGAGTGATACTTAGTTGCCTAGTATTGGGGTAAATTAAAGTTGGCGAAGGGGCATAGCAGATTCAATTTCCACTTCTTAACAGACCAGAAAATCCAGCCTTCAATGAGAATATGAATGTTTTAATATTTAATTTCTAAAGACTAATGAAAATTAAATGTACAGATCTGAGTTTAATTTTAGTTGATTTTAAGAGAATTAAATTCTTAAACTCTTTCTATTGGTAAATAAAAATTACAACAGCAGTTTCAACATAGCATATGCAGTTTCAACATACCTATTTTATATTTCATTGTTTCAGTCAAATAGATATTGCTGTGATAATTATAAACTAGGGATGTGAATGCATAGCCGTTTATACAATTAACGGTTTAGCCCAGACTCATTGGGCTCTGGGGCCAGATGTGGCCCACAGCTTGACTAGATACGGCCCCTGAGGCTCAGGGTTTTCCCCTAGCATTGGGGAGTTGGCACTGGAGCTCCAGCATCTCTGCTGCTCTACCGTGTGACTGAAGCTCACAAAATCTATTAGGCTGCATCCCCCTAGGCTCTGGTGTTCAAAGGGAATGTAGGGATGGTCTTTCTCCTTAGTTGGGGACCACATTAGTGAGGGTTTCCCTCTCCCTCTCATTTGTGTGCCGTCTCTGACTGATTTTTCTGTAGGTCAGTGGCCCTGACCCAGAAAATGTTCCCCAACCATAGTAAAAACTGTTACAAGAAGTCCCTGCTGCCTCTGTATCAAAGGCAGCAGAGAGTGGGTGAGTGGGATTTAGTACGCATGGGGAACCATCTTAAAAGCTGGCTCCTCCCAAGTACCAGCTCCTGTGGAGCTTCCTGCACCCTGCACCTCTGATACACAAGAAGCCTGGGCGGAGGATGGAGGGAAAAGGGAGGGGGAGGGAAATAGGTGGGAGCCAGTGCTCACAGGGATTTACAGTGGTTACACATTTACAAAATTAAACACATTTTAACATAATTATTTTGAACCTAGACAACTTTATAAAATAAATTTGGATATGAAAAGAACTATTTCTTCATAAAGATTTTATAGAATTGATCAACAGTCCATTAGAAAAAAAAATTCTTTGTGGATTTGATTAATTAATTAGTTTAATAGTTTTCTATTTCTAGTCTGAGTGGGTAAGTCTACACTTGCAGCCTAATTTGAACTAGGGCTGAAAATGTAGGCATTCGGAATTGCAAATCAAGCCTGGGATTTAAATATCCTGCGCTTGATTTGCATCTTTCCAGACGGGCACCATTTTTTAAATTTACAAGCCCGAAGTAACTGCCCACATCTACACGCAGCAATGAAACGGGCATTCAAAATAAAGCCCTAGTTCGAACTACCTATTAAACCTCACTGGCCTACATTTGCAGCCCTAGTTCGAATTAGGCTGCAAGTGTAGACATACCCAGTAAGACTACAGACACAAAATGCAGTTTCTTTGGTTTGAGTTTTGTTTGATTTTTTTACATCTAGTAGTACAATTATTCTAATGAAAGTATTTATCTGTACTAGATAAATGCAAAAGCTTTTCTCTGTATCTCCACTTTGGTTGACCCTACTAAGATAATAGGTATGTAAGGGTGTGTCTAGACTACTGAGTTTTGTCGACAAAAGTGGACTTTTGTCGACAAAACTATACCAGCATCTACACTACCGCTGAGTTCTGTCAACATAACGTCGACAGAACTCAGCAGTTTTGTTGACGCTGGTATACCTCATTTTACGAGGCATAACACCTTCTGTTGCGTCTAGACTACAGGGTTCTGTTGACAAAGCAGCTTGCTTTGTCGACAGAACTCAATGTGTCTGGACGCTCTTTGTCGACAGTAGTTTTGTCGACAGGTACTGTTGACAAAACTTCTGTCGACAAAACCCGGTAGTCTAGACGTACCCTAAGGAGCAGGTGGTTGCAAAAATCCATATGAGAAATGTTTATCCACACATGGATACAAATTTTGGAGTAACAATTGAAAGTAAGAGATGTATTTTGTCTGCACTGAAAGAGTAAGCAAAGAAATCTAGATGGTGACTGGATATGGGGAAAGAAGGAAGGGAAGAAGAGTCAAAGATAATCATAAGCTTGCAAGCCTAAGAGACAGGAAAAAGGTTGCAAAAATCCATATGAGAAATGTTTATCCACACATGGATACAAATTTTGGAGTAACAATTGAAAGTAAGAGATGTATTTTGTCTGCACTGAAAGAGTAAGCAAAGAAATCTAGATGGTGACTGGATATGGGGAAAGAAGGAAGGGAAGAAGAGTCAAAGATAATCATAAGCTTGCAAGCCTAAGAGACAGGAAAAACAGCTGTATAAGACATTAGAGAGACACTACTGGAAAGGAATAAGATGGAAAGATATCTACAACAGCAAATAAAAACCAGCAGACTTGGGCTTGGGGCCCTTGGGTGGTGAGCTACGCACTTCTGTATAACCTTCTGGGCTTGGACTGAAACCCAGGCTCTACAAATGTGCAGGATGGGAAGATCCCATAGTCCAGGCTCCAGTGCAAGCCTGAAAGTCTACACTGCAATGAAATAGCCCAGTGAGCACAAGTCAGCTGGCATGAGCCAGCTGCAGGTTTTCTTTGCTATGTAAATTTACCCATATAATTCAGTTTTAGAGACTTCCTTCTCTTGGATACCCAGCTGCCATCGCAAATTTAGAGAGCAGTGGTACTTTTGAGACTGAAGAGATGAGAATAATTTGAAGGTAAATTTGGGAAACATGTGGATAGAAGTGATAAATGAAATGTGACTTTCTGGGGGAAACAAGCGGAGCAAATGGTAAAAAAGAACTTCAGTGATGCTAAAGATGTCCCTAAATGAGGGTGAGGAACATTATGTGTTATGTTCTTTGTAACAAAGGACACATGATTTTAAACCTCACACATCATTTTGGCCAGGAAATAGTTAAATTATTGTGGTCTCAGAAAAATCAAATTAACAAAACAAACACAGTGATCACTATTTACAAAAGTAAATAGAATCATATAATATACAAATTCTATTTATTTTAGGCTTTATCTACCATTTTTCTCCCTCAGTCAACCGGACAAAAGGAAGCAAAAATGATAGTGGTTACTGAATTTTTTTCTTGAGAGCATGACATTTCTTTGTTTTTGTATCTGAGAAAATATTGCAAAAAGAAAAGGTATAGCTTGGAAATAAAATGTTGGATTTTTTTCTGCTGTTATTAAATTATGTTAAAGTAGGAAAGCACTTAAGCAAAAAAGTGTGAATATTGCCAATCTCAAAATGTAACGCTTATTATCTTTAAAAGCATTTTGTTACTTTTATAATACCTGAAGTGATATAATAATGTCAGTCACTTAACCAGATCTTAGAGTATAATATCTTCATCTTAAGTACTATTATTTCCAGTATTTTAATAATTTTCATACAGTCCTAGAATGTGATCTTTTGTGCTCTGATGACACTTAAATTAATAGCCTAATTTTCTGGTACTTGCAACAGTTGCTTTCCATTTTGAGGGGTTTTTTTTTTTTAACATTTTCCTACATCAGACACAGATAAATCCTCTAATAATCATTGCTATCTTTATCTTTGGGGAATTCAAACGATTTCAATAGAAAAAAGAAACATCAAGGGATTACAACCCACAGATAAATTTTAAAATCCAATTAATTTTAATACTAATTGTATTTTTCAATGATGGTTTTTAAAAACATAAGTTAAATTCCTCCCCTTTGTTTTTTATTAAATGCTCTGTTCATTTGATCTTATTTGCATGCTTCATTGATATTGACAACTGGCTTTTCCTGTATGCTTATCTGCATCTATAGCTATTTAAATCCATCATACTACTTTGTCATGCAACCAGGAAAAAAATGTATCTTTCCTTCATACTTCATTAACCAGTTTATTTTTGATCACTGCTGACCATTGTTCTTTTAAAACAGTGCTACTGACACCTTGTTGGCACTGCTCATGGAGGTTTAAAAAAAAAAAAAAAAAAAAAAAAAAGGTCACTCTCCATAACTGTTGTCCTTCAAAATGTGTTGCTCATGTCTATTCTATTATAGGTGTGTGTGCTCACCGCATGCACTGGTGCCAGAAGTTTTTCCCACAGTGATATGCATATGAGACCAGCTCTCCAAAACTCACTGGAGTGTCATGTGTATGCACCAGTATAAGGGGCACTGCCAGCTCCACCCTTCCTTCTGTTTCTTCTTGATGGGACTCCCACAGAGGGAAAGGAGAGTGGATCATGGAATGGTCACGAGCAATACGTCTCGAAGAACAGTTACAGAAGGCAACTCTCTGTTCA